GAAAGTAATGAATATTTATTAAATAATTATTTATTTTAATATAATTATTATTACTTCAAAGATTTTTAAATTTTTTTTAAATAAAAATTTCCAGAGTTTATTATTTTAAAAAATTTTATATTAAAAATTTCCTGATGTAAAATATAAGCCCTATAGATTAGATAGTTTAAAACTAATAGTAGAATTTCTATTTCTTATAGTTCTCTAGTATCATAAAGAAAAGTTATTAAGTATGTAATAGAGTTTTGAGTATTAGATAAACAAGTTGATATGTTAGTATTAATTGTAGTTATGTATTACAAAAAATATTTGATATAATGAATATGAATTTCATTTGTGAAATACTTTTATTATATTTAAAGCATAAATATATCAAATTCTTTTTATAACTTAAAAAACAAACCATTATAAAATAGCTACAATACTTTTATATAAAATAATATTTACAATTTATTATTTTTAATATTATTTCATTTGTTATATATCAAGTTATATTTGAAAAACAAATATATCAATTCTAATTATGACTTGAAAGTTAATATATATAGATTAACTGTAGTACTTTCTTTTAGATAATTAAATAATATTTAAAATAATAATATAGATTTTTGAAATTTTTTTTTTTTATATTTTTTAAATAGTATTAAAAAGTATAAAAGTATAACTATTTTATATAAGCCTTGCATTAAACTCTTTTAGCAAGAGAGACATACAGTATGTTATGCTATGAATATTGTATCTTGTTTTGCAAGTAAAAATACAATAAAATTAATAAAGTATAATAGTTATTTGATTCTTCAGAAAAAAAAAATTATTAAAAATAAATTAAACCTATTTATTATATTTTTTAAAAAAATTAAAATTAAAAATTTTTTATAATTTAATAATTATTTATACAAGTTCACAAACTTTAAATGTCTTTTTAATAAGTAAAATTAAACAATTTTTATTATAATAAAAATTTAAAGTTTCGTGAAATATCGTATTGTAAAACGTAGTACAAACCGTTTTTACAGATAACGATGTATCATTTCGGTTCAATCTGATGAATTAAAATGTTTACAGGAATAGTAGAACATATAGGAGTAGTAACGGAAATCCAGCAGCTGGATAATTCAGAAACGGGTGGAGGTGGCTGGTCGATGAAAATTGGTTCCGCAGAACCTGTACTTGTTGATTGCAAACTTGGTGATAGTATTAGTGTTAATGGTTTGAGGATTAAACTGTCAATTATCAGAATTCTTTATATTATATTTTGATTACAAGTAATTGCTCAATATATGATATAAGGTACTTGTTTGACTGTGACCGAATTTGACACTACGTGGTTTAAAGTTGGACTCGCACCAGAGACGCTCAGAAGAACCAACCTTGGTAAGTTTGAGGAATTTATAGATAATTCAAAAGAACGAAACTTTTTGCCGACTCTGATTCCAAAACAGGGGATTTGAAAGTTTCCATGAAAGTAAACTTGGAAAGGGCGGTCAATGCTAGTGTCAGATTTGGCGGACATTTTGTACAGGTAAATTAATAAATGGATAGGGCGAATTCTGATTCATTCTAAAATATATTTAAACCAATATCGCCAGGGACACATTGACACGACAGCAACGATCTTATCAATCACTCCTGAGGGAAATTCACTTTGGTTCAAATTAAAACCAACTGATCCGTCATACCTACGCTACATCATCCCAAAAGGTTACATCTGTTTGGATGGTACCTCTTTGACGGTGTGCGAGGTAAACGACGAAGAACATTGGTTTAGTATCATGTTGGTCGCCTACACTCAAGCTCATGTTATTATACCTTCTAAACGAGTCGGGGATAAAATAAATGTTGAAGTCGATATGTTAGGTAAATATGTTGAGAGAATTGTCGAACCAATGCTTTTGGGCGATCAATTACAAGGTGGTGGCTATATTGAAAAATTGGTAAAGAAGTATTTGGAGAATAAAGCAAAAAATATCTCTCCTCCCTTACCTTAAATTGAAAGAACATTAACGAAAGATTTAATTAATAAATCTACATTGCTAGCCTGTCAAGTTAATAATATAAATAATACACTGTGCACTTGCTAATTGAATCATTAAATAAAAAACCCATTTCTTTCATTAAGAGAATTAAGGAAAATTAAATACAAATAAAAAAGATGAAAAAGACAGTGTATAAATCGTCCTTTGCAACCCATCAAATTTATACCACACGTTTAACTTCAAAGAACCGTTTCAAATAGAATACTTGCCAGAAGCACACTCCAAAAAGAACAAAGAATTGGAAGATTGACCACCACTTGACGCGATCATTTGTACTTTCAGCGGCTAGTCAAAATATGAATTCGTAAATATAGATTCTACGCGAGAAATTTAAATACAACTAATATAATACTTACTATTTCTGTGTGTACGTTCTCGCATTACAATGTATTCTTGTTCGTCCCTAATAGCGGCAAGACCATCAGCAAGTTCTAGAATTTCCCTTTCTAAAGGATCGGTGTGTGCTAATTCCATGTTATAAACACTTAATCTTAGTTTCGCTTAATAAAAGAATGCAAACACTAGATCTGATACACGATAGACTTACATTCATCTTCATAAACATAGATGGTTCCATGAACATTAAAACTAACAACTTTGTCGGTAACCGAAGACATTTCGTTACTAAAACAATAAGTATATCTTCCATCCAATCCTGCGACAAGACTAAATGTTCCAGTGCTTTGTCTGACAGATGAATCTAAAATACGATCAGAGGGATCATACACCTATAACAATTGAATTGAAGGTAGAAACTTGGATGAGCAGAACGCCTTATTTATAAATTGAATGTGTTTTTTCAAAAATTAGATATACCATAAAATCTATATCCAAGTGTCCACCATCGCCAACCTGATAGGTTATGGACATTTTATCACCTTTATGTAAAGTTTCAAAATAACAATCCTTGGTGTTTGCTGGGATTGTTATCGTATGTGCTGCCGCCAGGCTCATCAAGGACAGTAAGACGATAGTAAACACTATGAAAGACGACATCTTTTTTTTTTTTATGCTGAATGAAGAAGTATCACTTCGATATTACAGTATTATATGAAGGAAGTCCGAAATTGCACGTGAAAATTTGTGAAACTTTGATCATTTTTTTTTTCATATATAAAAAATCGCAAGTAGAAGATAGATGATCCCTTTCTTTTTATCAATATGAGCACTTTTGAAAAGGTATATATATTTTGATTTAAAAATTAGAATATTTGTTTTTTTTTATCATGCTTCGTGATCAAAAGGTTGAACTATTTATTCATGATAATATTAAATAAGGTGATTATTATTGACGCCAAAGGTCACCTACTCGGACGTCTGGCTTCCATCGTGGCCAAACAAATTTTATCTGGCCAGAGGATTGTCATTGTCCGTGCTGAAGCATTAAATGTGTCGGGATCTTTCTTCAGGAATAAGAGTATGATTCATTCTTTATTTTATTTTTTTTTTGTTTCCACCTTTTTTTTTGACATATCAAAATTAAAATTCGAAATTTTATTACAAAACCATCGATCGATAGTCAAGTACCACGATTATCTCCGTAAGCGGATGGTTGTTAACCCAGCACGTGGTCCTTTCCATTTCCGGGCTCCTTCCAAAATCCTTTACAAGACTATTCGCGGTATGATTCCACATAAAACATCTCGTGGTGCCGCTGCTTTAGGCCGTCTTAAGATTTTTGAAGGAATACCACCCCCATACGATAAACAAAAGCGTATGGTTGTCCCTGATGCACTCCGAGTTTTGCGACTGAAACCTGGTCGTAAATACACAACCATCTCTCGCCTTTCCAGAGAAGTTGGCTGGAAATATGAAGAAGTCGTTAAGAAATTAGAGGAAAAACGTAAAGCAAAGAGTCAAGCATTCTATGAGCGTAAGAAGGAGCTAGCCAAAATTCGAACTCAAGCTCTAAAAAGCAAAGGTGGTGAATTGCAAAATATTCAACAAAAAATTTCCACTTTGGGTTATTAATAAAGAATGTTCTGAAGAATTTGATCTATTACACTTCAATGATTCACAAAATTAAATAACTTCACCAAATTCAACATTCAAGGTTAATGACTATTTATGAGCGGTATTAAAAAATAAAACGTGTTAATATATAACCTATATTTTAGACTTTTTAAAGAAAAATATTGCAAGACTTTAACGTGATTCAAAATTGATCTTTTGTATAAAATCAAAAAATCTTTTACAATGCATTAGCAATTAAAGGTTATAATTAAAATTAATAATTGCAAATGAACATTTGAAAAATTAAATTTATATTGATTTATTATTTTATAATAAATTCTCTTATTTAATACAATATAAAAATAATTATTATTATTAATTTAAAAATTATAATTTTAATAATATTTATTACAATTTTTTTGGTATTTTTTGATTTTCAATCAGGCTGAAATTATTTGTTTATTAAATAAAATGAATTATTACAATAAAAATTATATGTAAACCTACTTAATCATTAATAACATTGGTAATTATCTATTAAATAAAATTAAAATCTATTTGTTCTATGAAGTTACAACTTGCAAATTACTTTTACAAGTTAGATAATATAAATCCAAATTGAATTTTTAATTTAATGTTAACTATTTTATTATATTTTATAACTTATATATTTTTTATTTTATTTTATTTTATTTTATTAATATATATATTTTGAATTTAATTATTTAATTATTATTTTTTTTTTAATAATTTAATTTTTTGAAATTAATTTTTTATATTTTATCTTATTTATTTTTTAAATTTCTTATTAAATTTTCTAAATTAAATTCTTTTTTTTTTTTAAAAAAAATAGATAAATATTATTTTTTTATTTTTTGTATATATATAAGTATATATTTTCAAAAAGAAACAATATCTTTTATATGCAATATGTAGTAAGCTTTATATTAACTTGCTTACTTATATTATATTTAATTAATATTAAAAAAAAAAATTAAATAATATTAATTGCTAAATATAAAATAAATAGCAGCTATATTTATCTATTTAGAAAAAAGTTAAGATATAAGTGAAAAAAATAAAAAAACAAAAACTAAATCAATTAAATTATAAATTTATATTTTTAAAATATTTAAATTGGTTTATTGTTTAATTTTGCTAGTTTTTTTTTATTATTTGTTAATATAATTTTTGTTAATATAAATAATAAAATATAAATAATATTATTTGTTATTATAATTATTACTATTGTTGTTATATTAATATAGTTGATGATTAATATAGTAATGGTTTGTTTGTTTATATAACTAAAATAAAAACTAAGTTAATAAATTATTATTAATTGAAATTTAATTATTTAATATATCCAAATTTATTGTCTTATTATATAGTATATATTTTTATAATTAATTTAAGTTAATTTATATTATTTAATGTTATTTAATATTAAATTAATATAATTATTCAATAAATATTTGTTAATAGTTTAACTATAATATAATAGTATTTGACAAAAATTTAATTAAATAAATATAATTATTTGATATATTTATAATTAATTATAATTTAATATATTTTAAGTTTAAAAATTTAATAAATTTATATATATATATTTTAATATTTAATTTTATAATTAACAAATTTATATATTACTTCCACAAATCCTAAAATTCTTAAAAATTTCCTTTTTTGGTAAAAACACAAAAAACTTCAAGAAACACCAAAGGAAACACTCAAAGAAAACTTTCACCAAGAAGAAACACTTCATTAATTTCTTTCAAACCAAAACAGGATATAGTAAACAAGTATAACTGAACTTAAAAGAACACTAACTCTTTCTTTTATTTCAAAACAGATAGACACACACTTGTTTTTTCTTACTGGGAAAGAAGGAAAAACAAGGAAAACAATTCACAGTAAAATTAAAGAGAAAGTCAGCACCGCACTTCCCAAGCTACCAGCCAGTCGTGTACCAGGTTAGATACCTCCTCTAGTCACTAGTAGGGCCTTGTATCAGCCAGATCACACCCGGTAAACCAGGCAACCTCGCCACTGACACAAAACCAGAAGGGTACCAAGACTTTCTCAAACACTGTGGTTAGAAGAAAACAATAGATCTAGAAAATTTTACAATATAAACAACAAGCGTTATGCGGATTGATCTACACTGGAACTGGAAAAACCAAAACCAGTTTACCCCCACCAAAAGATCAGCAGTAACATGAACACGCGAGTGCATTTCCCCACATTCAAAATAGGAAAACAAACATGTCTGTTTACAGCTTTCAAAATTAAGATTTAATTATTTTTCGCATCCAAAAACAACAACAAATAAACAAACAGATGACTACCAAACCGGAAATAGACATGTGTCTTTTCAACTTTCCTAATCAAATTATAAGCAAAGCATGTCAACACCCAGTCAAGTAATATACAGAATTCATGGATCAACAACATCAACAACACGCGTCTGACATGCAATCAAAAACAAATATCCAATAACCAATAGAAAATCAGATCATTGAGTACTTAAGAACGTTGGAAGACAATTATGACACTCATGATCAGCAATAGATCAAATCACTTCTTGAAGACAGCTACAACAACTCCTCCTCAGAATTCACAGAACTTGGGACTAAAGATGGGTTCCTAAAGTATTTAGCATATAAAATTTACGTCCCTTTACGTCCACATCCCCTAGAGGACATAATTCCTAGCTCTTTACTTCAATAGGGACATAATTCCAAAAATGATTTGTATAGATGCTTAAAACTATAAAGAACCTTTGTAGGTAGTTTTTTTTTATTCCTTAATATAGAAATGAAAATTTTTAATA